GTTCTCAATCGAGCGGAATCCATAAATGGCACACACGCACACGCAAAAAGGTCTGAACGAGCATATGCGCCTTGCTTGGACCTTAATTGCCACAGTCACGTAAGCCCAGATCGGACTTTCGGAGGCAGGCGCTGCTAACCCCCGGCGCGCGCACACGCACACGCACACGCACACGCACACGCACACGCACACGCACACGCACACGCACACGCACACGCACACGCACACGCACACGCACACGCACCCGCACACGCAACACGCACACGCACACGCACACGCACACGCAACACGCAACACGCACACGGAGCAAGGTATGTACGCGGTATGCGGCGCCATGGAGAAATGGCCAATCGCGGACAAATCGACGCAGCGGAAACGATTTCCCCCCATTGCGATGGCATGGCGCTCGCTGGTGTGAGGTATATGTAGTAGATCGTACGATTTTCGAGAGCGAGAGAGAGAGAGAGAGAGCATGCATTCGAAGATCCGAAAGTTCTGTCCGCTCTGTATAGCGTTCAGAACGTGATTTGGGGGCAGGACAAGCAGCAGCGGTGCGCTAAGGATCAACGAAAGGGCAAAAAAAGCCGCTGCGAAAGGAAGCGAGACTAGAAGAAAAGTAGGGAAAAGACAAGGCGTCGCGTGGTATGTTCCAAAAGAACCAAAGCAGGTGGGGGAGAACTGGCGAATGACCCGCTCGCTCACCGCTTCTCACTTCTTGCGGAACATGCTACCAAAGCCACCCTTGCTCTTTGTCGTGGATTTACCGTCACCAGCGACGGAAGGAGGAGCAGTGTTTGCCGGCGTCGAAGCTCCCGCCGTGGTGCCAGCGCGTGGAGGGGCCAGCAGGCCCGCGTCCCTAGGTGGCCCTCGTTCATCTCCATCTTGCCATCTAGGCAGCGTTTCGCGAAGCAGATCCTGGAAAGCGGGCATGAGCTTTCTGAGTGTGAGCATTTCCGGAATCGGAGCCGTTGTGCCGCGGGGCTTGAAGGACAAGTCCGGCTCCACCTCGCCAGAAGATGAGACGATATGTTGACCCAGAGGGTCCAGCTTGTCGAACCATGCCCAGGGAAAGTCTGCCTTCTCGGTACCACGCGCAAGGGTGCGGACATCGCCTTGCTCGATGGGCACGCCTTCCGCCTTCATCAGCTCCTTGAGGAGCGCGTCGACATCCTCAATCTCCTGACGCATCGAGCCTTTCGGAATGTCATCCGCATTCAACCCGCTCGCCGGAGCTGCTTCAGGTCGTGCGAGGATAAAGTTTTTGCGCATCTCCAATTCGTACCATACTTTTTGCCACTTGACAAACTGAGCCAGCTCGTCCACCTCCTTGACGATATTGGCAGCATCCTCTTGCGTCAGACGGTCATCGCGCAGAAGCTCTTCCAAGTTCACTTCGAGATTCTTTGCCTTTCGGTTGGCAGGGTTGAGCGGATCCGTGGTGGACATGGCCATGTAGTCTGCTCCCGTCTGCAGCCAGGCTGCGAACGGATCGATGATGGTGTGCATCTGAGAGAAGAGCAGGTACAAACTCTGCTCGTGACGAGCCGCCAAAGCGATGAAAGCGACCAGCTGATCGTCGCCCTTCTTCTTGATCTTGATGAGGTCGTCGATAAAGTTTTGAAGATCGTGCAGACGCTCGGACAAATCGACCGCAGATGCGATCGAACGAATGGCTGGAAAGAAGACTTGCTGGAGCGAGTCCTTGATAATGGTGGGGATGAGCGAGCCGCTGGCAAATAGAATGGCTTGCTCGCGATCGCGCTTCTTTAGGCAGACACGCAAGTGCAGCTTGAGCAGGGCAAACGTGCGAGCCTCGTCGGCCTCTTGAGACGAGACGCCCCAATTTCCAGCTGCGCGACCTTCCAGGGCTTTGCCTGCCGGGGTTTTGGGAGGGTACGCGAGGTTGACATCCGCCGCGTAGGGCGACTTGGCGTACGACTTTTCCAATTGCTGGACGTACGATTGCTTCTGCGAGCTCAATTGCGTACCGCTCGAGTGCAGCAGGATCGTCGTGAGGACATCCGCGCCGGTCCTCTCTGCGCGAGACCTGATCGCACGACCTTCCGGTCTGCTTGCACGCTTGACGTACTCTTCAATCTTCTTTGTCAGCTCGATATCGTTGATCTCCTTTCTAAAGGGCACAATGTAGTCCTTCTGAAAGGCCGTCGCTTCTTTACCCAGCACATATGTAAAGACGCGTTGGACGAGCGACTTTGCACCCGCTGGTCGAGCCAAGAGCAAGCCAAGGATACCGGAAATCATCGATTCGGCGTTTGCGACCTTTAGGAGCTGTCTGGCACCCCAGTACGGGAAGAGAGCGTGGATGCCCTTCACCACACCAAAGATCGAGTCGGCCGCAGGCGACGTCACGAACAGGTTGTGGAAGAGGTAGGCAGCATGCATGCGAGCCCATTCTTCTGCGTTGCGGCTGGGGCGTGTGAACAGGAGAAATCTCATCAGTGCTCGCGCATGCTTTCGAAGACATCCGCCACCACTCACTATCTGGGAGGAAGATTTCTGATGTTGCTGACCTGCAAGTACGCCATCGTCTCCTCGAGACCGGCTTCGCTCTCGATTGTGTGCTCCTTGAAAGCTTGCCAGTCTCGGCGCACGCGATGAGTCTCCTTGCGTGCTCGACGCCACACATCACCTTCGGGGCCTGAAAAGAGGCTGTCGATCTTGTCCATCAGGGCATCGTCGATGCGAATAGGCTTGTCCAGACCTCGCTTGACGGTGCCCTTGCCCCACTGCTTGCCGACGCCCCACCTTTCGCTTCCGGATTCTCCCTTTCCAGGACCCTTTGTCTCCCCCTCCCCACGCACACCAAATCCTCTTGCCATGAAACCTCCGAGGTAGCGGGTGAATGCGAGCGTGTAGAAGCGTCGACTGGTCAGCTCGGCTCTCTCGGTCGAGTGGGAAAAGTTGCGCGCAGCAGTCTCGTCAAAGTAGGGCTGAATCCGCTTCTGCCAGTACTTGAGCGGCGCCTCCTTGAGACCAGGAAAAGGCTTCAAAAAGACTTGGAACATGTGTCGGAGCATCAGAGGCTCGGCGATATTCTCTGCTCGGCGCGCCTGATCTTCATCGGCATAGGGATCGTCAGCTGCAGCGGCGAACTCGCCCTTGGCAAACTCGCTGTCCATGTCCAGATCCTTTTGCACGCGCTTGAGCTTGGGTCGCGTGGGAGAGAATGGGTAGCCGTACTGGGTAAGAGCACCCAGCTTCTCCAGCTCGCTCCATTCGAGCTGCATTTCTGTGGACACGAGCGCTTTCAGGAGATAGTGGCGCTGCACAGGCGTGAGCAGATCCACCTTGTCAGCGCGCTTGGATCCTCGCTTGTGGGCAGGTGTTGAGCTCTTTTTGGCCGCAGCGTTCGCCCTCTCCTCCTCTTCGATCAAAGCAGCTGCGTCTTTGCTGGGTCCTAGAGGAGCGCCGTAATCCTCTTCTGCCTCTTGCAGAGCCGCATTCGCGTCCGCGTCGTCGGGGACATCAGGGTCATGCTCATCGTCCTGCGCCGCCTTGTTGTTGTCGCCCTTGAGCACATCGTCCTGTGTTACGTGGAGAGGGAAGCGGACAGTCAGCGATGGGACGTCGATGGCAAGGATGAGAGCGTAGCCGCAGCAAAGCAGTGACCTGTCCAGCAGAAGCTGCCATCAAATCTTCACTGGTGACGTACAGACTGTTCTGGCGTGTCGTCTCCCTTGCCAAACATGCCAAAGAAGTTGAATCCACCAGGCAGAGACTGCTCGATCGACTCTCGGGCAGGAGAGGTGGGGCGCTGCTCCGCGTTGCGAGAGTCTGCACGCACGCGTGCGCTAGTGTCCTCTTGAGTCTTGTCTGCTGGCGCTTCACGAGCGTCCGTTCCGACAAGCTTCTCATCGCTACGCACGCGCTGCTCGACTTGAGCATCAGCCAACTCTTGAGCATCTTCATTGTCCTTGTGGGACTGGCCGAGATCAGCAGGCTGTCCCCTTGAAGCTCCCTTCTCGACATCGTCGCCAAAACGAGGCAAGGCTGGGAAGCTTCTGACGCGGTCAGCGCCACCCACAAGGGTAGCGTTGGGACTGACAGCAGCAGCGGCAGCAGCAGCGGCGCTTCCTCGAGGCTTGTTGAACGTGGTCCTGCGAACAGTGTCTCCCCTGTGCAGACCAGCATCGTCATCGTCCTTCTGCCAAAGCACAGAAGTGCGCTTCTTTCTAGCCTTGTCCGCATAAAACTTTGCAGACTCTTCCCTTTCCGCCTCTGCGATGGCAGCAGCTGCATAGCCCGTAGAGCCGATGCTCAGAGCAGAGCGTGCGCCTAGACTGGCATGTCGACTCCTGCTGCTCGATGCTCCTGCGACGAGGGCAGCAGCATCGTCGTCGTTGCAATCAAAGCGCACGCTGCTTCGAACGCTGGCACGACCGCTGCTCAACATGCCGCTGGAAGCGCCTGAATGCGCCCTGTATCGTTGCTGAGCCAGCGGAGAGTTGGATCTGGATGCCGATGCCGCATTGCTCATCGTCGGACTTTCACTCGCCACCTCGCCGCCGCCACCGCGACCACCACCACCACCACCACCACCGCTCGCATCTGCTCTGCCGCTGACACCGATTCGCCTGCCCGTACCCGTGCTGACACCACCACCGCTGCGATTGCCGGGTGCCAGACTGCTCTGACGACTCACGCGGTATCTCGCTGCATCTGAAGCTCCGTTGGACGCTCCATGATCGCCGTTGCTGTTGTTCAAAGACTCATTCTTCTGGGCTGCCGTCGGACCTGCGCTTTGAGCAGCCTGAGCGGCCTGAGCAGCAGCAGCAGCCTCCTGCTTCTGGTGCTGCTTCTTGGACCCGATGGAGCTCAGGATGGACTTTCTTGATGGCTTCTTCTCCGACATCTTGACAAGGAGCGCGGTGTGGGGAGAGAGAGAGAGAGAGAGAAGAATTGGTGGAGCGGAGCGGGAGCAACAGAAGCAGCAGAGATGTTCGCGAGTCGCAAGAGATGTCGGCAGCAGCGCGGCAGCGCAGGAGAGACAGGCAGGGCAAGACGCTATATGCTGAGCGGCAGCAAGCAGTCAGCAAACGGCGGCCGGCGACCAGTGCGGGGGGGAGCGGTATAGGCGGAAGGGCGTTTGCGCGGGTGTGCGTGCAGTATAGGTGGAGTCACGAGTGTGGGGAAGAGAGTGGGTCGTTGTGTTGCGCGCAAGAAGCACACTTATGCAAGAAGTGGCTTGGAGAAAGGGACTAGCGGGGGGGAAGAGACTGAGTGATGGGGCGAGCGAGAGGCGGGCGGGCGGGCGGGCGGGCGGGCGAGCGAGCGAAAAGGTGGATCGGATCTGGTGCTGGCGCAAGAAGAACGGTGCGCCGCGCGGCAGCTCTGGCGTCTGCGTGATGTGCGTGTGCGTGTGCGTGCGTGTGCGTGTGCTTGCGCTTTGTGCTTGTGCGTGTGAAAGGGTGCATGCGTGAATGAGACGATGGAGTGTGGGGCAAAGGCGGGGGGAGAGGAAATCGTACTTTACTATCTGCTCGTTCGAGGCACTTGATCAGCAAGCATGCAGCGAGCGGCCGCCCTTTTTTTTTGCGTAATGAGCTCCAATGTATATAGGATCGATGGGTGCCGTGGCGCGCTCTGTGCTGCCCGCCCGCCTGTCAATCTTTCAAAGCTACTCACGACTTCTTTGACGCGATGCTGGCGCCAGCTAGGGCGCACAGCTGCATGTAACTCGTGACTGCGTAGCTGCAGCTGTTGCCCGCGATGATACTGTACACATATATGCGCATATGCTGCAAGCAAGCGCGTGATTGGGAAAGCTTGCACTTCGCAGCAGTCTATAGCGCAGCGCAGCGCAGCTGCATCTCATCTCCCTCCCTCCCGTGGTCGCTGCTGCTGTCTGCCTTGCCTTGGTGTTGTGCGTGAAAGGCGGGAGAAGATGCTGCGTACCGCACGGTGGGAGCATGCCATGCCAGCATCGGTAAGTTGTTACAATAGCCTCACCCACTGCGGGTCTTGAGTGTATGTATGTAAAAACATGCCAGACCGCGCGCAAACCATTCATTGCAAGGACGATGCATGCGGCGATCGACCGCCGAGCTATAGGTGCGCCTGCCATGGCCGCGGCCGGCTGCTGCTCGCTGATGCCGCGGCGATCGTTGGGGGGGGGGG